AAAGTAGTAGTAGCAGTGTGTGTGTAGTCTCAGAGGTACAGGTGCATCATTCATCAATAATATATACATTTATTTCCATTTCTGCCTGTTCTATATTATTTAATTTTCTTCTATTTACATTAATATTAATTCCATCTTCTTCATTTCTTTCACATTGTCTTCTTTTCTATATTTCCTGTCTATCTTTCCCTTGTATTTATTTTCATTTACTTTCTCTCTTACTCCCTATCTTTCTTTAATCTCTCTCTTCTATCCATCTTCCTCATTTATCTATCTTTCTCTGCCTTCTATCTGTTTCTGTCGTTTGTCTAAGTTTCATTCTTATCTACTTCTTTTTTCATCTACTTCTATCACGTATCTACTTCTCTTATCAATCTATTTCTTTCATCTCCTTTTTTCTTTCATTTATTTTCCTTCATCTCTCTTTTCCATCTAACACCTTCCTCTCCCAGCTCTCCTATGTTTTGTATATTATTTCTCTCCTAATTATCCCTCTCTTATTCCTCTATTTATCCTCTTACATTTTGTTGTCTCGTTCCATTTGTCGTTTATTTAAAGTTTCTGAGTTATTTACATTTCATTATATCACAAATTTCTCGTCACAGTGTTGCCTGCATAATGGTAGGCGTGTCTTCTTCTTCTTCTTCTTCGTCATCATCTTGTTCCTCTTGTCTTTCTTCTTCTTCTTCTTCTTCTTCTTCTTCTTCTTCTTCTTCTTCTTCTTCTTCTTCTTCTTCGTCATCATCTTGTTCCTCTTGTCTTTCTTCTTCTTCTTCTTCTTCTTCTTCTTCTTCTTCTTCTTCTTCTTCTTCTTCGTCATCATCTTGTTCCTCTTGTCTTTCTTCTTCTTCTTCTTCTTCTTCTTCTTCTTCTTCTTCTTCTTCTTCGTCATTATCTTGTTCCTCTTGTCTTTCTTCTTCTTCTTCTTCTTCTTCTTCTTCTTCTTCTTCTTCTTCTTCTTCTTGCCACAAACAGTTCACAATTAATCGTCACTCCTTCAGGTCTTGGTTAATTAATTTGAAACCTGGGAAGCTTGTGTCTTGGTCCAATACTCCACGACGCCTCTTTTATCTTCTACCTGTTTTTTTTTTTAGGTCTTTTAAAGGACTTAGACCATTTTTAGATATATGGTATTAAAAGAAAATATTATCTTATTTAGGTCTTCCAAAGAAATAATTTTGCTAGGGTCAAAGGTGAACACACACACACACACACACACACACACACACCATAGAATTGTTAAGGATAGGAAGTGGAATAGTGATGGCTTGGCCGTGTATGACAGAGAGAAGAGCATCACAGGACAGACCGTGTATAGTCCCTCTGTATATACAGGGAAGATGATGAGACTGAGTGTAAATATTAGAACTGAATAACTGCTGAGTATACCAGGGGAGCTGTGAGGTAGAGTTACTGACTGAGAGAATTGTGACAGAAACAGAGAGTGTATTTGGGGAAGTGCAGCGTGAGAAGAGGGAGAGAAGAATGAGAGGATCAAGGTTTTTACATTAAAGATCTTAAGTGTTAAGTGACTGGGGAAGGAGAAGTGTCTGTAGTAATTAAGAGCTGAGTTTATAGAAAAGCGATGTGGTTATTGTATATTAAATGGGTGACTGTTGAATGTTTAGGTAGAGGGGAACTGGTAAACATTGTGAGTAGAGATGTGTAAGAGATAGAGAGGTACTGTGAATGTTTAGGGAGGAGTCTACTGGTAAGATGTTAAGAGAAAAGAGGGGAGAGAAAGAGAGATATATAGAGAGAATAAGAGTTAGAGATATTAATTTACTGGGTAGGAGGAGAGGGAACACATCACATACAATAATGGTGGGTGTTAGAGCAATACGTCACGTAGAAAGGATACAGTCAACAATAAATTAAAACATTTGGCTAAAAAATATGACAGTGCAGTCTAGAGTTGGTGATTTGGTCAATGAAACAAAAATCGAGGGAAATTGTGTTATTTTCCTTAACATTCGACGAAACGACTCATGTTTCATCCACAGCTCACCGGTTCATGGAGAACTTGTTGGCCTCAGTTCGCTTAGAGGTCACACAAAAGGGAGTGAGCACTAGACTGTGAGCCGCAAGAGTGAAACAGTGTGAAGTGTGTCTGGCCCTGTGTTTACTAGCTCTTTTATAGTGTCTCAGCTCACCTCAATTCATGGCCCTACAGGATACTCAGAAGGGATTTACTCAAGCCATCTATGAGCAAAATCTTCCCCATTTAATAGACTTCATTACGTCACTAGTACATGTGCGTGTTGTGGTCAATTGATTTATATTCGGGAAAGATGCGGGATGAACTGATGCTCTTGTCAACTGCCCGTATTTTCTTCTGAATTATTTTCCACTTGCTGGCAAAAAAAATAACAGAAACTCTATGAGGTTATATATATTTACCCTAAATGATATAACACAGCTTCACAACTGACAAGAGAAAAAGGTTCGAACTGATCTCGAACACGGACGTTACGAAGGTTCGAAACACCTCAGATAAATAGGTTGTAACCTCCTCTGTGTGTTGACAATATCATCACTGAATACCTGAACGGGTGAAGCGCTTCGGCCTAAGGATCAAACCCATCACATACTGGCTTTGTCGGATCAAACTAGGTCTTGTTTGGATCACGCTGGCTTTGAAAAGCTTCGGACAAACAATTATGCGAAAGTTCGAACAACACTGAAGCTCCATTGAACCATCTCACAGCTACAGAGAGAAGCATTGTTGATGTTTACAAAAGCGAATGTGAGTATTATTATGGTGTTCAGTGAACTTGGTGGGATAATGTTGATATCGCATGTCTGTTTGTTGACGTGTGATTAGATGTAATGTAAAGGCGGACTATCTTGATTGATCATGATATTAACTATATTCTCTCTCTCTCTCTCTCTCTCTCTCTCTCTCTCTCTCTCTCTCTCTCTTTTCTCTCTCTTTTCTGAGGCAAATACAGTAAATATACACATCGCCTATCTATCATTCGCCTCCAATTATACAGTGACCTGACCTCATTTGCTTAATATCATGTCGTGACCTTTATCCCGAAGTGCAGAGATTAACATAATAACCTGACGTCACCTGAACAACACGTCTTCTCATCTCATGTCAACCTCTGGGTCATTGAGGTCATGTCAGGGAACAGTCATTTGATTCTCTAAGATGATCACATTAATAGATTTGTCTTTACCGCTGAGGATACGAATCGCATCTTAGAGTCTCAGTGAGATTTTAGCTGCAGTGTTGAGACTATGAGTTTGATGGATTCTTGTACCTCCAATTAGGGGGAAATTTAAGGTATGAGCTTAAAAGAATCGACAGTAAGTAAGACTGATTCTCATACATTTAGATTTGAGGACAAAAATAACTTAGGGACTCTTGAGAATCTTCAGCTGAGTCAACATGATGTCCTCTACGGCCTGTGGCACAAGGAGGCCGAGTCGAGGTGATGTACCCAGGATAATCCCTCTTGACTTATATCCACGTAATAATTGTATACTGTACTGCCTTTTGGACAACATCTCTTAAGTTGTCCATCGCTAACTGGTCAATATCTTGAAGTAATTATTGTCTGTTGGCGATTTTGTCCGAAAAAAATTTTTATACAGTGTTTGGTAATATTGTTATGGAATATTGCGTTGAAATTTGTAAGTTATTATATTGATATCCAGTTGTACATTAATTTCTACCGATGCGAAATTAGATACACAAATCACAACCTATTTAGAGTAAATTATAAACTGAATTTTTGAATATATAATGTGTAGAATTACACGAAAAATGAAGTGTAGGATCTTATGAGACTGTGTGGCGGCCACACTTGTGTTGGCACACACACACACACACCCAGGGCCTTATCACGGAGGCAGAGGAAATTACCACATTAGGTTATATATATTTGTATTCATACAAGTTACTTGCTGCTATGGTGGCCGGCAGGTGCTGATACACTGGTTCTTAGTGTTGAGCAGCTAGTGGGTTACTCCACCACCTTGGCAGGATGATAATCTACCCAAGGGTTGTTCCAACATAGTCAAGCGAACCAGGACTTATTATTGTTGAATTCACAATAACCAGTATACTCGTACAATAAGATAACCCAGTCCCCTACCTCGCCGGGAAGACTGCGTTCTTATTAAGTGTACTGTGCAATATATACGATAAATAAAAAATAATATCGTATACATCAGCGCTATATAGAATATTATAAGAGTCTCCTTTAACATTGTTGTGAATTGAAGATTATTTTTTTATGTGGCGTTATAGACGTTACGAGCGTACGTCCAGATAGAGTTAATTAAAAATGTTAAAGTAAATAGTGTGAAAGCGGTTATTCACATCCACTAAGATCGAATACTAATATTTGTTCAGGCAGTTTCCATGGATTAATTCATCTAAATCTGGATCACGTGAAGATTTGACACCCCAGTTTATTTCACCTGACTACTAACCACCCTAACGATAACTAAATGGATTAAGCTGGGTTATGTTAGATTAAGGTATTTTAAAGAACATTAAAGAACACTAGGAAACACTGAAGAACACCAGCGAACACCGAACAAGAACAAAAATCACTAGAAACTACTCAAGGACAACATGTAACACTTTGAATTACTTGAGAACACCATTCGATACTAAAGAACACTAGAGAACAGTAATTAACTCTTAGAACACATTTACGGTAACAAAGAACGTGAGGCTGGGTGTGCAGGTACCGATAAAGAACAACAAATAACAACAAACACTGATAATGCACCAGATAATACGAAAAATACGAAAAAAAACACCAGAAAAAAACACCAGAATATACGAAAACACCAGAAAACACAAAAAACAGAAATCAGAAAAACACCAGGAAACACAAAAAACAGAAATCAGAAAAACACCAGGAAACACCAAAAAACACCAAAATATACGAAAAACACACCAGAAAACACACAAAAAAACATTAAAAACACACAAAAAAACATTAAAAACACACAAGAGATCACTAGAGAACACTCACGGTAACAGAGAACTTGAGGCTGGGTTGAATGTTGATGGGTCTATTGCGTTCAGTCGGGACGTAGCGATAGAACTCGGTGCCATTGTGGTACCACTTGAGGGAGTAGAGTCTGGTGGAGCGGAGGTCATATGAGCAGCTCAGTGTAGCCTGACCCCCAGCGAAGGCGAACTGGGGCACGTCCACCCCCCGGAGTAGGTCCCCAGCGGCGCCTGTGGGAGAAGAAAATATTTGTTATCATGTGGGGAGGACAACAGGTGTCATTATGTGGGGAAGACAACAGGTGTTATTATGTGGGTAGGACAATAGGTGTTATTATTATATCGGAAGGACAACACCTGTTATCATGTGGGGAGGACAACAGGTGTTATTATGTGGGGAGGACAACAGGTGTTATTACGTGAAGAGGACAACACCTGTTATTATGAGGGAATGACAGCGCCTGTTATTATGTGGGGAGGACAACAGGTGTTATGTATAGGGAAGAAATATTCCGTTTAACACCTGGTGGAGGACAACATCTGTAAGAGGAAAGGTCCCCATACAGTCCCCAGTGTCACGTAGAAGGACAACACGTGGCATCTGTCATACGTGAGAACAATGTCACTCAATAATGACGTAACTAATAGAGTATGGATTTGTTTGGTTGTTCTGCTGGTGGTTGTTGTATATTGATAATGATAAACACTCAGTAGTTGTTAGAGTTATAGGCATTTAAATTTCTTCTTCTCCTTATTCTTCTTCTTCTTCGTCTTCTTCTTCTTCTTCTTCTTCTTCTTCTTGTTCTTGTTCTTCTTCTTCTTCTTTTTCTTTTTCTTTTTCTTCTTCTTCTGTAATTTTCGTAGGACAAGGAATACTATTCTGTTACTTTGTATTCATTCCAGTAAAATAAAGATTCGATGTTTTGATATAATTCTCTATATCTCTTTTTCTCTTTTCTTCTTATCCTCTATTTCTTCTCTCGTCTCTCTTTTCTTCATAATTTTTCCCTTGCACGCTTCCATGTTCAAAGGTTGTCAAGAAATCGATGGTTTATGGTTGAATTTATTTGTGTGTTTCGGTCGATCCATAGAGACGATTTTACACGACCTTACTGAGATAGATTCTGAATTACTTTTAAAAGATAAAAATCATGAAAAATCGGCATTTTTTTAATTTTCTTACCAAGGCTGAAAAGTTAAGAAAAATCGTTAATCTTAGGATCCAAAATCGGCTAATTAGACCCGATTTTGCCTTGTGACGCCTCGAAACGCTTCCCTAAGACTGGATTTTTTTGGCTATCATGTTTATTTTACAAAATTAGGGTTTCTGAAATAAGGGAAACGTTTTGTAGCGTTTTTTTGATAAAGGGGAGATAATTTTGTAGGTGTCAATGTAGAGTCAATCTAGATGGCAAAATTAGAGCTACGGAAATTAAAAGAGACAGTTTTGATTGGGTCAGATGTTAGAAGCAAAAAACAAAAAACATATTTGATGACGGAAATAACAAGTCACTTTGAGAAGATTTGAAAATTGCCTAAATACCAAATGGCTGTTATCTTATTATTTATTTTTTTTTCTTTGAGGATTTATAAGTAAAAAGTTCATATGAAACGATGACTTTTGAATCGAGGTCGGCGGCGGGCTTCATATTATTGTATTCTGGGTGTTGGAACTTGATCCTACACACACACACACACACACACACACACACACCGCTCAACAAAGCAAGATTCAACTCTGTACTCCCCCTCCTCTCATATCCTCACTCCTCCCCCCCTCCCCTCCTCCCTCCCCTCCCTCCCCCCCCTCCCTCCTCCCCCCTCCCTCCACATACCCCTGTAAACTTGCATGACCAATAGACAATAGAATCATTGATTATCCACAAAAATAAGATGAAAATAAAACAAGGCATTTTCGAGATCGCTAAACAAACCCTCCACCCCTCCCCTTCCCCCCTTTCCCCTCCCCCCTTCCCACCCCTTTCCCCTCTCCACCCCTCCCCCTTCCCCTTTCCTCTCCACCCCTCCCCTTCCCCCCTCCCCCCCTTCTCTTCCCCCCAAAAAAAATCCTTCAAAATTTTTACATTCGAATCCTGTCAGATTTTTTCTAACAATCAATGAAGAGCATTTTTTTGTTAACTTACAATTCACCAGCGGCAAAAGCCTTTACCTCTATCATCATTCCCATTCAAAAGGGAACTAATAAAAAAAAATTATTAAAAAAAAGGCATCATATACCATTTCCATCTCTTTATAATACAATTCCATTCATAGTGCCGTTCGTAAATGGGTTATTTTTTTTTCCTTTTCTTTTTTTTTCTGCCGTAGTCAATGCAACTCACTATTATTTTATGATGTTCCTGATGGGGGGTGAGAGAGGAGGGAGGGAATATTGCCGTAAGCCACATTCTCTCTCTCTCTCTCTCTCTCTCTGTTTGCACTGTAACTCGTTCACTTGACGTCTATTCATCAAGTGGTGTTACTCATCCTCCAGTGGTGATTATCATACACAGTATAAATTATAGAGAAAGATAGGAAGAGTGGCTGTATTTTGCTGAAGACATTATTGGCTATATTATCTTTATCTACTTACTTTAAGACGTTAGTGTGTGTGTTTGTGTGTGTGTGTGTGTGTGTGTGTGTGTGTGTGTGTGTAAATATATGTGTACCTGTTGGTGTGTACAGTATATATATATAGACAGTATACAGGTATAGCTTTATTTTCCTTCCCTTAAGCTTTAACCATCTTAGGTGCGCCTCACGTGAGCCTAAAGCTATAATAAACTTGAGGGTAAAGTTAGCTTCCAGGTGTTTAACATGCAAATTGTATTCTTGCAGGTAAGACAATTTTCCTATACTCTCGTTGTCATCTTCAAGGATGGAGTCATGTAGCGCCAACCCCTGTACGTCCGTCCTTCTGCCTATCTGTATATCAGTCCGTTCGTCTGTCTATCTATGTATCAGTCCGTCCGTCTGTCTATACGTTCATCCGTTCACACGTTTGTCTATCCGGCCGTAAATATGACATAAATCCACTGAACAAGACAGCAAAGAATGACCTTATCCGACCCGTAACCGTAACACATTATCCCATCCACAATACCCAGGACAGGGGGTCGAATTCCAGGTCAGAACATCAAGAAAGGTTTTTTTTCCGGATCCTAATGAAACCTTTTGTCAGCTGCTTCGAATTTTAATTAAAAAAAAAAAAGTATGTAGTTTATTGACTAGTGTCTATCTGCATAGCTTGTTCGGTCTTCTGGTCATTCACGGTTCTGGTCATTCACGGTTCTGGTCATTCACGGTTCTGGTTATTCACGGTTCTGGTCATTCACGGTTCTGGTCATTCACGGTTCTGGTCATTCACGGTTCTGGTCATTCGCGGTTCTATTCCGGTCTACGGTTCTTAAGTTCTTTAGCTGGGTTCTTTATTTTTCTCTCGCTTCCATTTATCTATTCACCTATACATGTTAAACGCTCTCTCGTAGCTACTAAGTTTCCAATGTTCATCAATATTGAAAAAAAATTGGCTTTTTTGCCAATGGTACGGTGAAAATATTCCTTTGTGTGTGAGTGTGTGTTTGCGTATGAGTGTTTTTGTGTGTTTATGTGTGTGTGTGTACGTGTACGTATTTGTGCAAGTGTGTGTATGTGTGTGCAGGAATGTGTGTTTGTTTGTTTCAGTGTGTGTGTGTGTGTGTGTGTGTGTTTGTCTGTCTGTCTACAGGAAACAATAAAATGTCCTCTCTCTCTCTCTCTCTCTCTCTCTCTCTCTCTCTCTCTCTCTCTCTCACATACATACACACACAACAACAACAATAACAACAACAACACAAACACAAACATCCGTCATGAGAATCCGAGAAACAACAAAAAATATCGAACTTGTAATTCAAATACTGCAATCAATTTTTTTTTTTTGTAATTGCAGTATAACAATAACCCAAATATTTACGGGATTGCTTTCAACATGTTCCTGGCTTTGCATTAGTTAATCATCTCTTTTGTGAACTGATTAACACACTGAATGAGCTGTGAAACCTGTTGAAAGTGAGTGAGTCAGTGAGTCAGTGAGCTATAGTGAATTAATGACTCATTCAGTAGTAGTAGTGAGTCAATGAAAACAATGAGAGAAAGAGAGAGAGAGAGAGAAAAGGGCTCTCTCTCTCTCTCTCACATACACTTGCCTCTCTAAATAATCCTGCTGTTGAGTTTTGGTCACCTTTTTTTTGCCTATTCATGTAGGTATTTTGCCTATTTTAGTATTTATTTCGCGTATTTTAGTAGTTTTGTTGCCTACTGTAGTAAATTAGTTGCCTATTTGAATAATTTTTACCTATTTCAGTATTTACGTTTCCTATTTTAGTGATTTTTTTGCCTATTTTATTAATGCTTTACCTTCTCCTTGGGTTATATATATATATAGTTCTCTCTCTCTCTCTTCTTTCTTCTCTCTCTGGTCACAAAGTCGTTCTCTATATTGCCTCCCGATGGTCCACATTTTCAAAGCCTCACACCTTAATTTTTCGCCCTACCAGGAGATATGAGAACTGGGCTGGCTGGCTGGCTGGCTGGCTGGCTGGCTGGCTGGCTGGCTGGCTGGCTTACCATACCAACAAGACAGTCAAAATTACACTGAGACGCTACCTTAACATAAGAGTCTTTCACACTACACCAGCGTAGGAGTCATAAGAGCTCTGAGATTCGACTATAGTTTAAAGAGTATCTATGTAATTTTGACGCCATATTTACACGTAATTCTAAAAGGTGTAACTCTGATTCCACACCAGTTTAGTTCCTTTACGATTTAGCTGACGAGGTAATTTTCACCTTTACGGACCTTTAAGAATGCAAGTGCTGGTCCCTACTGCCGAAGGCGATGACGAAGATGGGAAATAAAAGGCATTTTCATCAAGGAGGCAATCAATAACGGTCTCTCGTCTCTACCAATACTCCGCTGTAGAGAGAGAGAGAGAGAGAGAGAGAGAGAGAGGGGAAGAGAGAATGGGATAAAGAAAGAAAATAGTAAAAATAGGCTAAGGAAGGTTGAGTGTATGAGTGATAGGGAGATAAAGGGAGGAAGGACACAGAAAAAGGAGGATTTAAGAGAGAAACAGAACCAATAGAGAGAAAGAGAGAGAGAGGTAGGGGAGAGAAATGGGGAGGACGAAAGCTAAATCGATAAAAAAGTGAGTGAGGGGGAGGCGAGAAAAAGAGTGTAATAGAGAACG